AGCATGACTGGACGTAAGTTAAATTATATTCTCAGCAACTAGGAGGTCTTCTATAAAAGATAAGTCTTTAAGATTCTTCTTACAAAGCAACAGACTTCAAATAGCCTATTCTAAGGAAAAATAGTGTTTTTTTCAATGAGATAAGCTTGTGTCTATCTCTCTGAGGCACTAAGAAATTGAAAAAGGAGCACACATTTCCTTCTTACGCTAACATGTGGCAAAGATTTGTTTGAATAAAACAGATGGAGCTCAAGACCCTGTCCTGCCAACAAGGAGAAGGTATAGGAGCTGTTGGCTTTTAGTCTTCCATATATTTCCCAGCCACATTCATTGTGTTGCTGAGTGAACAAAAAGTATGTGCTGTGAACAAGATGTTCCTCTACAATGGAGGCCACTTGACAATAGCAATGAGTGAAAGAGGCAAAGCCAACATTCACAATCTCAGTTTCTCCTGTTACATCAGGATAGACTACTGAAGGCTCTTTCTTTGGGGGTATTGTTCTTTGTTATGAACGGTTGGTTACCCTTGCTACCGTTTGGCTTTCTCAGGGTTTCCCAAATGGTGAGGTGTACTCTCTTGGGGAGGTGCAGACAGAGTCCAGGGCAGGTGTGAAGAACCTTTTAGTTATACATGGTTACAATAAATCCACCTTTCCCAAAATACTAGTTTCAGGTGAGTAATATGGTGATGGAGGAGGCACAAACTTTGCTTTTTTTATGTCTTTACTAAAGATAAAGATTTGTTGTATCGTTTTTGTTGTTCATTTGTGTTCATTGTGATGTTTGGATTTTTAAGGGAGGTATGTACATTAAGGTTACACTAAAAGGAGTGGTGATGGCAAAAAGTTCAAAAACCTCCACTCTAACTCTTACATGTTTCTTTTGAAGCTGTTTTTTGTTGCTGCTTGTTTTGTTTTTTTGACGCTGTTGCCTAGTTTTGGTAGCAAATGGACCCTTCCCATTTTATGAAATACAGTTTTCTAGGATATTAGCACGCATTTGCTCACTTAAATTCCTGGACCTTTGGCAAACTTTCTATTATTTAACTAGGTGTTCAGGGAATGGACATCTCAAATCTTAACCATTGTTTGCTCCTGGCCTGAGATATTTCCAAATGTTTTAATATAATCTATATTTTTATTTGCTATAGGGATTAATGCATGTCTTTTGCTGATAGCTAGTCACCTCTTTTTTCTGTTGCCAGTGTTCCATTTATGACATCTATGGTAGTTTGCATGTTCCTGATATTTACTACAATGGTGAAAATAGGCAGCTATGATCAGCACCAGCAACTAAGATTAGTAGGATTTGCAACTGATCCATTCCTTGATTTCAGAAGGCCTGGGTTAAGAAAAATTAATTTGCCCCAGGATTTATATGAGAATAGGAAAGCCAGAGCCAGTTTGCTTGTGTCTATATGCAGGGTAAGAGCTATAAAATAAGGTTCATTCAACTTTCTAACTCACAGCAGGTTTTTAGCCTTGTTTGCTGAACCCAGCCAATCACAAGCTAATACTACAGAGCACATATCACTTGTTTGGCCAATTTTGGGTTATTGCACATCCTTTTTAGCTGCTTTTGCCATTCACCTCTATGTATTGGTTAGTGGCTTGGAAACTGAAACCAGCTGGTGACCAGTTAGCAATAAATTTGTGGCTTTTTCAGTTAAAAGTCAGATGTAACAGCATTCTGCTGAACTAAGATCACAATTCCCTCAAGGGCAAAGATACAAATCTATATTCAGACTTGACACCACAAAAGTTTATCTCTAGGTTGTAGCTGAAGTATCCAAATTTAGTTAAAAGAAGCTAAATGGCTTTTGATTAAATATGTTCCTATGCTGAGTTGGAAATGTTGAACATTCATAGAATAACATTTGCTTTGTCCAGGGATAAGTGAATGCAGATCTGGTCAAATACATGTCAATGGAATATAAGAATTGTCTAGTAATAATACCAAAAATGACAGCAGTAGGAAAAAGAGAAGGAAGAATCCATAAAATGAACCATAAAACTGGGATAACAGCCGAGGATAAAATACTTAGCCCTGTAAAAAGTACAGCTACAAGCACATCTAAATGTTCTTCTAAAATGTGCTGGTCCATGCAAAATTTATATGAGCATTCTAATGATGCTTCAGCCAGGCCAACGTGCCACAATTAATATGTCAATTGTCACAAATTCTCCAGACAAATAAGCAGCTCTCTGGAACAAAGACTTTGGTATGTATTTCATCAAAGCTCCCATGTCACATCTAACTTGGGCACGAAGAGAAACAAGAAGCAGTGGTGGGGTTTGTGGGAACAACAAAGGGCAGCAGGCATGCATCCCAGGCTGCAAACCCTTTGGAGCAGATTGTCAGTGCAGACATTCATCTCTTGCATAAAGCTTGCTTACATTGCACTAACCTCAAACCATCTTTTTTTCCCTTATGAATCTTCTAGTACCAAGTATTCCTTTCAGTCATTAAAATGGAGATGAAATGCAAGAAGCATTCTGAAATACCATTGAACACATGGCCAGAGCTGCTGTCTTGTTAATGAAAATTGAAACCAAGATTTATCATTTAATAAAATGAGGGAGGAAGAAGGCCTGTCTACACCCCACTGGTAGTCAGTTCCTTTGATTTACATTGAACTACAGAGAAGAAAAACTCCAGATGTACCAAGAAAGATGTACCAGAACTGTTTGTTCCTTTTGTCTTCTGCTTTCTTTTATTTCTGTCCCTCTAAACTAGGTCTGTAAATATCTCAGCAGCTTAGTTTCATTAAGAAACCAGAGAAGTAGTTCTGGAAATATATAGCTTCCTTATTTATCAGCTCTTTAGACAGGATGAGCTCTCTTGCTTTTGCCCCATGAAAAATTAAAAATGAACCTCACAGCCTTTCCGATCTGCCTCCCTGTGGGAGGTAGCAACAGATTTCAGGACAATTCAGCAAGGTCTTGCTGTTGAATATATCGTCATAAATAACATGTCATAAAACTTTACAATGGCACAATACAACACAACTGAGCTTCCACCTACCCAAGGAGCAGGTATTTTCTTACTGAAAAAGTAGGCACATTTTCCAATCTGAAGAGATCTTCAGGTGAGAAGCTTTGCTTGATACTATCTACAGCTTACCAGAGTTCATGAAAAGTAAATGGAGCCCCCAGAATAGACAAAAATATACTAAACTTTACACATACACTGAAATGTTTCTTGTGAACTATTTCATCTGCTCTTAGGCTGTGTGCTTGCAGTGCCAAAAACTGTGTCATATAAAAGAAAGACAACATTTGGAATAGTTTGCATATTTAAAAGAACAGCTATTTAGTCTGAACATGTTTAATGGCATTTTAAATATTGTATGTTGCAACATTATTTATCCATTCATCCTTCTTCTATAGTGACTTATATAAGCTTCTGTCAGATTGGCCGCTGCCAGAGTTCTGTGAGAAATTACATATCACCAGAAATACCAGCTGCCCTTGAAATTTCAGCATGGAATTGTGTTAAACTTTCCCCCTCCACTGTCATCAGCATCAGCATCAATTTTAATACATTATTTATTGATTTTATTTTTGTACTGTTGTAATCTCACAGCACAGCTCAGAGCAGTCCACAAGAACAATTTTAAAATTTCCTTAAAATAAAACCATCAACAATAAATATATGAAAAATTAAAAAATAAAACCTTTAAAAAGAATAAATGCAAAAAAAAAGTTCATTTTGGAAAAGAAGAATATTATGATAAGCAATGTAAAAGACAGCCTGGTCCTGGAGGATGTGTTATCCCACAAATTATTGGATAAACAAGCATGATTTTAATTGTGATCTCCCCTGGGTGAGAGATTCTAAGTGAGGCACTGCGATTGAGGAGGCCCCATTTCTGGCCACTATACTGTGAGCTGATGGGACCACTAGGAGGTTCTCCACAGTGGGTCTTCATGCAGATATTGGAAAGTATTATGAGAGGCAAACTTTTAAGTACTTGGGTGTTAAGCCATTCAGGGCTTTATACTTTATAGGCAAATATTAATACTTTAAGATGTGCCTGGTATCTCATAAACAGCCAGTACTGTACAGCACTTTTAGAACTAAATTATATGCCTCGTTTGGCTGCCCATTTAGCAATTGGGCAGCTGTGTTTTGCACAAATTGCAGCTTCAAGAGTCAAAAACTGTGAAGAGAAAACAAGAGCTATCCAGAATTTGAAATTTACTGCACTTCCTTCCATTCACAAAAGGGATTGAGGTGAAATGAAGACACCCACTGTAGCTTCACAAAGGGGCTATGGTGGGAAGAAGCGAAAGGAAGAAAGAAGGGAAAAATTGTTCCAGCATGATTATCCAGACATGGCATTCCACACAAAAGAATTCTAGGATTTTCTCAGAGTGTTATTCCTTTCTTAAATTCAGGAATAGACATTGTTATTGGAGTAGCTCCAATATATTTGAAAACCCTACGTAGGTATTGTTTAAAAAAAAACCATGCAGACATCTTGAAGTTCCTCCTGTATGAAAATTAATAATAGTAAGATCCTGTTCAGATCATTCAGGTCTATTTGAAAACAATCCTTTGTCCTTATTAAAAGACCAAAATGCTTTCCTTTAGGGGAAAAAAGGCATAATTCATAAAGTAAGAAACTGCTCAAGTTACCAGCCTACTGATTTCAACTGACCCTAGAGTGATTGCATCCATGGATTATATACAAAAGGGGGAAAACTTTGTGCCACTACATTCAGAATCTCTTCAAAAGAAATTGTGGTTAAATGGAACTGGAAGACACTTTTAGTCAGAAATGTCATTGTGTTGGTCTTCTGGTGGTTTGGTTTTCCAGCTGTTAGTCACAGCTGGATATGTAAAATCCACTGAGTTTAGTGTAAAGAATTCCATTAAACAAGGATGTCCAAAATTTACTATATATATATATATATCCATATCAATTAATCACAGTATTTATATTATTGATATGTATTCCAGAATTCAAATAAATAACTTTTCTTCCTGATATGCTACAGGAACCTCTGTGCTGATTCCTGGACCTGTTCCTTCAAGGTTATATCTTTTAATTCCATTGAAAACATCAAGGTTCTTACTTTTCATCATCAACTGTGCTGCAATTTTGGATCTCTAGACATTACCTCTCCTTGATCTGCTACTAGTTTCGGGGGTGGGGGGTCATGTAGTTTCAAGGAAGCTGGGCTGCACAAATCTGGGCCCCATCAACTTTACCCCCCCCCCCCAAATAGCTTCCCCTCATTATGTAGTACAACAAATTTGGATCCAATCTCAGAGTTAGGGCTAGCACAACAGCTTTTCTTTCAGAAGGAGCCACTTTACAGGAGTAACACGTAAAGAAGGCTATCTTTGTATTTTATGTATATATACTGCACTTTCCAGAAATATACTGTTGGAGAATTCTGTTCCACTTCAGCGGCATGTGCATCCTCAAAATCATTTTAGCTCAAGATTCCATGTTATCTGGAGAAGTAAGACGGGAAAGATCAGTAAACTAGGGGAAAATGCAAATTAAAAGTTCCCAATCCCATATTTGCAGCTTTTATCTATAATCTGGAAAAGAAATGATCAGTAGATGACACCACTAAACTAAATTCTACTCTGTTTCAGACTGAAACTTTCAGCCTTGTCTCTCAATTATTTTGCCAACCTAAAAACAAATGAAACTGGTTTAATGTGGACTTGCCTTTTCTATGTTGCAACTGGCTATTATATTTAGCAGTCAGATTCATTATGAGGCATCCCTAGGGAGGGAAAAAAATGGTTTTAAAAAAGCTAGTGCCAAATCAAAATACAAAAATATGCCACATTTCATTTCCATACCTCATATTACTCCCTTTTCCGCAGGGTTAATATCCGTGTCCTCTTAATGGCTTCGCATTTTGCTGCCTTTGACGGGGGAATGTTGCCTTCAGTTTCTGCATTGTAGCAATTTCTTTCCACAATCCATTGGGTTGCGAAAAGAAAAAAAGAAAACCTGTTTTTCCTCTGGCAAAACTATTTAACATATAGGCAGGTAAACTGCACTTCTGTTTCATAAGTCATTTGCTAGGCTTCCAAATGAAGCAAGGATAGCTGTGCTTTTGAATGTTGCTGGAAGACTTTGCCCTGGATTGTGAGCTTGAAACCAGGCTGTAGAAAGAAGGAGCACCTATCATGTGGGAAGCAATCCCAAACTCATCCTGAATTGCTACAGACCTTGCCCTTAACAGTTTGTAGGCTATGTATACACGGTCTATGCTGCCAGACTCCTCCTGATTTTTGGTTAAGATGTCTTGACTTCAAGTCCCAGAATTCCCCAGACAGCATGCTGGCTGAGGAATTCTGGGACTTGAAGTTCACACATGCTGGCTGGGGGATTCTGGGACTTGAAGTCCACACATCTTAAAGTTGCCAAGTTTGGAAAACACTGCCATAGACAATGTCTACAAACTTATTTAAGTGCCACTGGACCCGAAAAATGTTCCACCGTCATTAACATTTTCTTCACGGGTATCACTTTCTAACACATTCCTTCCATGGTAGCTTTTCCCGTCATTCAGCATGCATCTGGGTGAGCTGTAATCTGTGTCAAGAAAAAGGACTACTTACAATGACAGTGTGATTCTTCTGACTTAGACTGAAGTAAAGGCATAAAACTTCATTGCTTTTTGTGCTCCATTCCTTGTTACTCCTGAAGCTGTGGGACAAAAAAGTCTCACGTCAAATTCAATGGGACATTACTTTTTTGGAAAACGGGATGCTACTTGCCAAACTCTGGTCTTTGGCACATTCTTACAATGGACAGGAATTCTTCTTGTCCAGCTTCCTGTTGCTAATAAATTATTTGCATGAAAAAAAGCACTTGCTTTCTCCATCCAGATGAGGGATTATCCAGATACGTGATAATCTTTATTAGGCCACCTCAAAGTCAGACAACAACTATAAACTTTTGAAATCATTCCTTAGTGCCTCTGATTTGACAGAAAAAAAGTGTTGCCCTGCACTAAGTATAAGGGTTCCCACACACACACACACACACACACACACACTTATGATCAACATGGCTCCTTTCTTTTATGTGTGTGTGTGTGTGTGTAGGGAGTGGGGTTGTATCTTCTCCAGGAACAGCACCTAATACCTGCTCTCTGAACATCACATAAAAGCAACCATGTGTACATAAGCCATCCTACATGGAAAAAACAGCTATAATTTAGGTAATACTTTAAATGCAGCTGTCAGTGGAATCAATAGAGTCAGCTGCAAGTTATACATTGTAAAGTCATCAACTACAGTGGAACTGAATAATGTGAATGTATAGGATGGTGGAGAAATTCATTTTCTTCCCTCCTGAATGTAATTGCTTAATTTTGCATTTTCAGACCAATATGTGGTTTGAAATTCATTGTTCTCCAAATTCCGTAATGAATCTATCAATAAAAAATAAAAAGACCAGAGCTATCACCCCCCCACCCCCCATGTGTGAAGGAAAAGTCACGTAAAAGTGCATCTATTCATAAAAATAATGTACAAAAATGTATTCTATTATGGAAAATAGTTTGCAAAAAGTAGACCAATTTCAGAGTGCCTCAGGCTTTGCGTTAATTTTAATGAACTATTTTAGGTTCTATCCTTGTCATTTTCCTAAGGCTGTGTTTACTGTGTGTCAGA